TAATAATGTACTTTTTTTAAGTAAGTATCCAGTCCTTTGGATTTCTGTTTTTATTCTCACCTGGCTCCCTGGATATCCATCAAATCCATAGGTGGGATCATTCCACCCAAGTGCTCCATACCAGAGCAGGTTCACACTCTGGAAATTGTAAGTAGAATACTTACCTGTATAATATGTTCAACCACTAATTGGACTACACCATTGGCTTTCCTATCTATGCTTCCCTCCACATATATTACTGACTGCTGTTCAAGATATCTGACATCATATCCTTGGACAGGTGTGCAATATTAGAGATAATTGAAGCACTGGAAAGTGTGAGTGTTCTATTGGCACTGTCTTTATATCTAATGCATTTCTTATAGTATTATACTATCGTATATTTCTTTGTTAAAGATATGTCTCACAATTATCCTCCTCCATTGATTGTATGCATAATCCTTTTTAATTACTAAGCGCGACTCACCATTTGTTTGTATTTATCTGCTTGTTATTCACAAGGTGTGGGAACTCCTTGTAGGTGGACTGCAGCTATTTGCGATAAGAGAACACTATATCACCGCAGTGTTCTAATTGTTCGTCTGGGTGGCCGCAATTCCTCTGGAAAAAGACGAGGTGGCGGCCATCTTGTTCGCATGAACAAAGGCAACAGTGTTTGGGCATAAATCTCATGGAACTAAAATCGGACACAGAAACTTCCGAACACCGCTGGACTTTAATCATCGCCTGCGTTCGGTTCTATACAATATAGAAGGGCACTGTTCGATGGAATCGTTCATCTGGATGAAGGGAACAACAAGCTCCAGGGTAAGAACATTGACTATGTTCGGTAGTTTGTTCGTTTTTAAACTACCAAACTAGACCGACTGCTAGCCCTGATTCTCTGGAACTGTTTTAGGCATGGGACCATGTGTGCAGTCGGTCAAATAAATGACTTCCAGGAAATTCCTGCACCCCTGAACCGATTTGGAAGAATTTTTGTTATGTTGGTCACCCAGATCGGGGCTATCGGGGGATGTAACTTTTGTGGGAAGAATATCGCTCTATTCTATAATAAAACCTCTGATACATATATATATATATATATATATATATATATATATATATATATATATATATATATATATATATATATAGATAGATAGATATATCTATCTATATATATATATATATCATAAATATAAAATATGTGGTGAAAAAGAAAGGGGGGTAATGGGGGGAGGGGAGAGGAAAGGGGGTGGTCTGCCTATTACATATTCTGCAACTATATAATTTACCTTCTAGGGTCTAATCTAGGACACTATTTCACCACAGCTCCCTGACCCTGAGGTAATCCTCTCTCTTCCCATGTACTGACCAATGGATTTCCTCCCTCTCCCTTAATTTCTCAACCCAGTGAACTCATTGTTCTCTGTTGGTAGAAGGGGCTTACACCAATGTACCGGAATCTAACCATTTGCTTCATTCAGTATAAAGTTCAGCAATTGCTGCTTGTGTCTCATGTGTCTCAAAGAGGAGGGCCAGCCCAACAATATCTGAGATGGAGTTAAAGGACCACTATAGTGCCAGGAAAACATACTCGTTTTCCTGGCACTATAGTGCCCTGAGGGTGCCCCCACCCTCAGGGACCCCCTCCCGCTGGGCTGGATGGCGAGGAAAGGGTTAAATCTTACCTTTTTTCCAGCGCCGGGCGGGGAGCTCTTCTCCTCCTCTCCGCCTCCTCTCTGCCTCTTCTCCTCCTCTTCGGCTGAATGCGCATGCGCGGCAGGAGCTGCGCGTGCATTTAGCCAGTCTCATAGAAAAGCATTCATAATGCTTTCCTATGGACTCTGGGGTCTTATCACTGTGATTTTCATAGTGAGAAGCACGCAAACGCCTCTAGCGGCTGTCAATGAGACAGCCACTAGAGGCTGGATTAACCCTAATGTGACGAAGTGCCCTTCGCCACTTGTGCCTGGAGAGGACTGCTTGCCCGCCTCTTGCCCTGTGACTATGGCCCCTGGGATGTATTGCCCTTTAAAGACATGATTTGGGCATAATGGATTTGTGTTGTGCTGCTGCTGGCCCTTTAAGAACCATCTGGGGACATACTGTGGAGTTACTGGGTGGCCACCATTTCCTGTATCAGAAGCACATGGTGAGAACAATGGATGGCGGCCATTTTAACTCACAGACACTGTTTGGACTTTTCAACACGGTGCCATCTCGCTAGTATTTGGTGCACAGAGACATCGTGCAGTGGTTTTGGACTATACAGCAGGGGACACATTATACAGTAATTGTTTTTCATTTAGCCTGTATATGTTCTGCAGAATCTGCATTAAACTGTATTTTCCAAAGTACTGAACGGATCTGGGTGAATTTTGGATATGTGCTTCACCCAGATCCCCCGGTTCCAAGGATATATGGGGTTATTGCATGTTTTGGGGTCCCTGTGATGTATATTTTAGAAGTTATGAATGCTGTAAAAATTGTAATGTTTCTGGCCAGCAGATAATTGAGCTTTGTGTATTGTAGAAACTCAATTATCTAGCCTGGCCCAGAGGAGGAGTTTTGTGTTGCATAAATTGTGAGTTCTGTGTGCCAGTAAATCAGTCTTGTTCCAGCATTAAGCTTTGGCTCATTTGTGGATTATTCGGCGATTCCAGGGATATTTCTGCTTATGGAATATTGAGTGCTTTTCTTTTATGGGAAGAAGGGAATGCTTGACGGGGATATTTTCTACTACCGTCACAACTGGTTGGCAGCAGAGACCCCAGCGCAGTTGCATCGCTGGAAGTGGGGTCTGCAGTGCTGATGGTGTCGGTTGGAGTGCTTGGAGTCCTCGGCAAGCGCTAGGAGCATCGATTGGCGGAGGTACTCAGTCGGAGTGCCAGCGTTCCGTCACACCTAATATAAAGAAGAAAGGGTTAATCCTAGAGGGACCTGGCACCCAGACCACTTCATTAGGCTGAAGTGGTCTGGGTGCCTAGAGTGGTCCTTTAACTGCGTATATGTAGGTAAAATCTTGTGTATGTCTGCTAAGACATGCTGCCAAAATAAACTGATATATTTACATTGCCACCAAATATGTTTTTAAATGTATTTTTGGAGTTTTCATAAAACAAAATATGTTTTTATGTGCTTGGAGACAATTGGATTAGATTAGTACAGTTCCTGATTCAATTATCTCCCAGGCACAGAAGAGGTATTATCTGATTATGTATGGGAGTGTCCTGGATCTGAGAACCAATGTAATTGTGTATTTGTGTTTACTGTGGTTTACTCTCAGGTCCAGGGGAGAGTGCTCCTTGCATGGGGACTTGCATATAAGGCCAGTTGTGGCTGCCAATAAATCAGTTCATCTTCACCCTCAACACAGAGTCTCATCTCGTGATTGTAGGGAAGAGCTATACCAGCTATACCAGCAATAAAAGCTATAATCACCAGCTCTTGTAAGAGCTACACTGCTATATCCTGCTATACTCTCTGGAGTAGGAGTGGTCTATCCACTGGAAGCTGGAGATTTGTCTTAGGTCCAGGGTGGGTGAAGATGGCAAGACTCCAGCCAAGCTGCAGTGGCTAGGGGTTTACGGTGATGATGGTGTCCGGTGCAGTGCTTATGGTACTTACTAGGAAGCATTGATTGGCGGAGGCAACCATTCGGGGTGCCAGGCAGTCTGTCACAGCAAGTTTTATGTATAAGTATTGTCTAATCTTAAATCCCAAACTTTCTCTTGTTTGCAAACAAGAATTATGTGCTCTTAGTCACAATATTCGGGATCCTGTTTATGGTTGTAGTATCCAAATGATTAATCTCTTCTATCTTAGTTTAAATGGTGCGGCATTGTCATCATCATCTCTTAGCTTAAATTATGCCCCTAACCTATGTCTCTGTGCTGGATTTTTACAATTATTTTTTTATCACTTTATGGTTTTCACTTTTTGGTGAGGGTTTATTCACTTTACAACATAGTCAATTCTGGACACTCTTAATTGAATGGGGAAGTCCCTTTCATATTTCACATTATTTGTGTAGTATATATACTGTTAATAATATAGAAGGGAACATGCCTGCTTTAAGGCACTATTATGATTTAATCATTTTATAGTCCACCCACTTATGTATGCTAACATTAATATTCAATTATACATCCCATGAATATAATAAATTATTTTCTAGATCTTGGGATCTCTATTATGAATGAAATTTGAGTGGATGGTACAATCTATGTATTTATTGGGGATTTTAGCATCTAATACACTATTCCCATTAAATCAAAGATCTTACTTTTATAGAATTCTTTGTGGGTACACGTATTGAAACATACTATCTGTCACGGTTCTCACCGTGACATCCAGACGAGGTTGCCCCAGAAGTGCCCGATGAGGCCACTATACAGCTCTAGTAATGCCTGAAGTATAATCTTGTCTTGTATCCAGCTCTGGGAGGCTGGACGTTATTCTGTGGCTGCTCCAACATTCTCAGCACACCTGTGGCTGATCACCAATTAGCCAGGTATAAGACACTGCCTCTCCCTGAGGGCAGTGTCAGTTCATTGACTCTGGTTCAAGTATTGCTGTTTCATGTTCCAGTGTTCTCCTGCTGATTCCTGACCTTGGATTGTTATTTTGTGTATCCTGACTTCTGGCATCCTCTGACCTCGGCTCTCTACTTGTCTATCCTGATTTCTGGCACCCACTGACCTCTGGCTTACCCACGACTATTCTCCTGTTTATGTCCTTTCTGTACTGCGACTTGGAGCATTAACCTGCACAGCCCCCGTGCACAGACTCACAGGTCAGGTGAGTTCTTACCTGACCACCTTGGCCTGTGTTTTAATTGCAAGGGTGAGCATATATATGCGCTACAGACTCCCAACCAAGGTAAGCCGTTACACAATCCCTTTAACATAATCCGTAAGGAATTTAACTTTAGGTGATAGATATCAGATTGAGACTAGTGATGTCGCGAACCGTTCGCGAACTTGCCGCGAACGGTTCGTGGCGAACTCCGGTCAGCTGACACATCCCTGCCAATCTCCGGCAGACCCTCCCTCCCAGACCCTCCACCTCCTGGACAGCATCCATGTTGAAGCTGCCTTCAACATGGATGCTGTCCAGGAAGTAGGAGGGTCTGGGAGGGAGGGTCTGCCGGAGATTGGCAGGGATGTGTCAGTTGACCGGAGTTCGCCATGAGCCGTTCGCGGCGAACCGCGGCGAACCGCGGCGAACCGTTTGCGGCAAGTTCGCGAACGGTTCGCGACATCACTAATTGAGACTATTATTTTTCTCTGTATTTCCCCTACATTATAGTGGTCTATTCCAAGATTCCAACATATTGTGCTACCAGTAATAATTATCTTCATAAAAGGTATTAGTCCAGTATATAACTGTCAGGATTGCTACTTGATCCAGCACGTAGAATTGTGTCACACAGAGAACTAATAGGTAACGTATTACCGGGCCTTAGAATGACCGAACTAATGTACCAAAGATTAGTCAGGAAACTAGCCGAGGTCAGGGGACACAGAAAGGGACACAACGATAAAGGAAAGCCAGAGGTCAGGGATACCAGAATACAGGGAAGTCAAAATCAAAGCCAAAGTCAAAAACCAGAATAACCATATAATATAACCATTCAGGAACACACTATCGGACAACCACTAGGAAAACCATGACAGGGAAATGTAATTTTGAGTTTAAATACATGCTTTATCTTTCTGATTGGCCAAGATCAATCTTTGACCCCAAAACGTGCGCGCGCAGTGCCTGCGTGATGTCACACGCACGCCAACATTGTCAACCAAGTGGGCAGACTTGGGGGTATAATTTGCCGTGGATCAGCAGCGGCCGGTGTCTATTAACATGCTGCAAGTGTTAGTCATGCAGATGCACGGCTGCTGGTTGCAGAGACCGTAAGGTAAGAGAGAGTATGTTACATTACCCCCCACCTGAAGACCGCCCACCGGCATACATCCGCATGACAATAGCAGATCTTGCGGCCAGCATGTACGTCAGAAGCCGGAACCCAAGAACGGTCGGCAGACCCATGACCCTTCAAATCAACTAAATACTGCAAAGTGCCCTGAGAAATTCTAGAATCTATTATGGAGGAGACCTTATACTCCTCCTGTCCAGAAACAACCAAGGTAAGAGGAGGAACACTAGGGACAGTATATTTATTGCAAATAGGAGGTTTGAGCAAAGAGACATTACAAAAGTATTTGGAATACGCAGGGAGAGCCAGAGAATAAGAGGCAGGATTAATCCTACGAAGGATACGAAATGGGCCAAGGAACCTGGGAGCAAACTTCATGCTGGGGACTTTTAGCTTACTGTTGCGCAATGATAACCAAACCCACTTGGTAAACATACCTTGTGGGGGTATAATTTGCCGTGGATCCGCAGCGTCCGGCCTCCATTAACATGCCGCAAGTGTTAGTCATGCAGATGCACGACCGCTGGTTGCAGAGACCACAAGCTGAGAGAGGTTCTGTTACAATACCGTCTAATACAGATTGGCACTATGGAAGAGCAGGTACCTTCCTTCAAACGAAAGTAGATGCAGGGTCTACACATACACTTGGCCTATAGGGAATGGTCATAAGAATTACAAGATGGTATAAGACACCAGTGCAATTACACAAATATTGCCCATCAGTGAGTGACCAATGTTGGAGGTGCAATAGTGAGCAAGGAGATATGGAACATATTTGGTGGCAATGTAAACATATCAGATTATTTTGGCTGTATGTCTTAGCAGACATACACAAGATTTTACCTACATATACGCAGTTAACTCCGTCTCAGATATTGTTGGGCTAGTCCTCCTCTTTTCATGAGAAACACAAGCAGTAATTGCTGAACCTTATAATGAAAGAAGCAAATGCTCTGATTCCAGTAAATTGGCGTAATCCCCTGGTACCAAACAGAGAATAATGGATTCAGAGGGTTGAGAAATTGAGGGAGATGGTGGAAATCCATTGGTCGGTACATGGGTAGAGAGAGAATTACCTTAATGTCTGGGAGCTGTGGTTATTATACTGGAGAGACCCCTTAGAAATAGTGTCCTAGATTAGACCCTAGAGGGTAGATGATACAGTTGCAGAATATGTAATAGGCAGACCCCCCCTCCTCTTTCCCCCTCCTCCCCTTTTATTATTATAATTATTTTATTATTTATATAGCGCCATCAGATTCCGTAGCACTGTACAAAGGGTGGACTAACAGACATTTAATTGTAACCAAACAACTCGACGTACAGAAACAGAGAGGTGGAAGGCCCTGCTCAATGAGCTTACATGCTAGAGGGAGTGGGGTATAGTCACATAAAGGGTAAAAGTAGGGGTGTGAAGTAAGTTGTTAGAAAAATATATGCCGAGGGCTTAGTAGGTAATTTTTGACAGTTGCAGGAGAGGAGTCATGGACGGTGGAGGATAAAAACCTGCTAACAGTTTAATTGATATGCTTTCTTGAAAAAGTGAGTTTTCAATGATTTTTTGAATGAGTGGAGACTGGGTGAAATTCTTATGGAGGAGGGAAGGGAGTTCCACAGAAGAGGTACAGCCCTGGAAAAGTCTTGGAGGCGAGTGTTAGAGGTGGGAGTATGGACAGAGGATATACGTAGGTCTTTGGCAGAGCGTAGGGGCCTCGACGATCCCCCTTTCTTTTTCTCTTTCTTTTTCATCACATATTTGATATTGATGCGAGATATATATATATATATATATATATATATATATATGATATTCTTCAAGAGTTGGCGATATTGTAATTTTTTATGTTTGTTTGCACACCTCAGGTTTCCTTCAGATCTTAGTAACAGGTGCAAATTCCCGATGCTTAGCAAGGGTCATGGGATACAAATCAGTAAATATTTGGATTTGCTTGTATTCTGGGGGTAGGGATTTAACAGTCCTACTTGCTTTTAGGAGAGCTTCCTTGATAAGATGGGAATGTGCTCTCAGGAGTACATATCTGGGTGCCTCTCTGGCTTTTGCCACTCTATGAATTTGGTCCAGGAGGAACATTTTAATTGGGACATCTGGAATCAACGCTCTAAATAAGTAACTCTGACAGGAATTCTGACAGCTCCATTGCATTCATCAACTCCAGTATACCTCTCAATTGTAGATTATTCCTTCTGGATCAGTCTTCCAGAACTATGATCTTGTTTTCACAAGCAGTAAGTAGTGCATCGAAGCTCTTGTATGTAGGACAAATTTCTTACACATCAATTCCCATACCTTTGTTGCTAATTCCAAAACGTCATTTAAGAGTTAGTAACGGAGATTTGAGCCACTGATAGCAGACTAATGCAGTTATAAGAGAGACAGAGAGGTTGCAATAATGAGACAGAAAACCATGTGTGTCAATATTTAATTTATTAATTCATTAGTTTTAATTAATTTGTTAATTTTATTTTTCTATTATTGACAGTAGGCTGTAACGAAAACCCATGCAGCAGGACAGTATATTCAGTTCAATGTTCTATTGATTATAGATAGGACTATATACTTTATTTATTCCAATTAAACTGCACATTTCCATTGATTGTGAAGTTAGTTATCGAAAAATGGCAGATCAAACGCATGGGGCTGCAAGTTAGCAGAGTTGTTTTTTTTTTCTGGTGATCCTTGGCTTAATTTTTTTTTCCGTTATTACAGTTGACTATGCAAAGTGATATGGGACTGTAAAGCGGTTGAGACCTGTCTGGAACTACTTTAGCCGTGTGTCTCCCTGAAAATAATGCACACCTTAGAACGTTTGTCAACCAATCAGACTGAAGCATTCAACGGCCCTGTAGTATAAGGGCTTATAAGGGCTTTCTCCACTATGCAACTACGTATGCACCTTGCAGGATGAAGGTTAAATATTATTATTGTATAACATTTCTATTTTTTTTTTCTCTCTTCTTTTTTTTGCAAATCTTTTTTTTTTATTAATTGCATCTGAAATTATGGATTCTAATTTGGCCTTTTTGGGGGCCTGAAGAAAAGAAGAGTTAGAAGTAACATACTTATCTCAGAAGTATTTGTTCTTCTAACTCTTCTTTTCTTCAGGCCCCAAAAAGGCCAAATTAGAATTCCCCACCTTATGTAAGTATTTTTGTTTGTTTTAATAGCTCTCTCATTATTACGAGGGTGAGGAGGGGTAGATATAATTACTGTGACGAAGTGCCCTTCGCCACTTGTGCCTGGAGAGGACTGCTTGCCCGCCACTTGCCCTGTGACTATGGCCCCTGGGATGTATTGCCCTTTAAAGACATGATTTGGGCATAATGGATTTGTGTTGTGCTGCTGCTGGCCCTTTAAGAACCATCTGGGGACATCCTGTGGAGTTACTGGGTGGCCACCATTTCCTGTATCAGAAGCACATGGTGAGAACAATGGATGGCGGCCATTTTAACTCACAGACACTGTTTGGACTTTTCAACACGGTGTCATCTCGCCAGTATTTGGTGCACAGAGATATCGTGCAGTGGTTTTGGACTATACAGCAGGGGACACATTATACAGTGATTGTTTTTCATTTAGCCTGTATATGTTCTGCAGAATCTGCATTAAACTGTATTTTCCAAAGCACTGAACGGATCTGGGTGCATTTTGGATATGTAGTTCAACCAGATCCCCCGGTTCCAATGATATACTTTTTATGGGGTTATTGCATGTTTTGGTGTCCCTGTGTGTTTTATGAAACTGTATTATTTCTGGCCAGCAGATAATTGAGCTTTGTGTATTGTAGAAACTCAATTATCTAGCCTGGCCCAGAGGAGGAGTTTTGTGTTGCATAAATTGTGAGTTCTGTGTGCCAGTAAATCAGTCTTGTTCCAGCATTAAGCCTTGGCTCATGTTTGGGGGATTGGAGAAATACACTCTGGGGATTGCTATAATCACTATACTCCCCAGGGTATGATCACTAAGTTCTGCTAAGAGCTTGTTCCTGTTCCTGCTCTCTGGGGAAAGAGAGGTTCACCCACTGGAAGCTGGATCCTGGCCTTGGGTCCAGGGTGGGTGGAGACAGCAGAGACCCCGGCGCAGTTGCATCGCTGGAAGTGGGGTCTGCAGTGCTGATGGTGTCGGTTGGAGTGCTTGGAGTCCTCAGCGAGCACTAGGAGCATCGATTGGCGGAGGTACTCAGTCGGAGTGCCAGCGTTCCGTCACAATTACTCTATTT